GAAAGGCCTTTTCTTAATCGAATTTCCTAATTTGAAACACCAATAGTGTCAAAATCGCTTTTTGTTCTCTATGAACTATGGAGTGTTTGTGAATTAAAAATAAGATGTCATTGTTTTTTCATTGACGATGTTCCATTGTTTTAGAACGCTGTCGAGAATCTTAACTATATGCAAATGGCCACCATTTAACTTCAATTTGAATCCGATGTAAATAACGTCTCAACAATTTAAAATGGTTTTGGTAATTTTGTAAGAATTCCGAATATTTTTTACATAATGTAAATAATTAATCACGGTTACATTGTTCTCGAATATTCTGGAAGTTTAATTGAATTCAAAACATTCCACAAGGAAGTGTCTAATTCGATTTCAAGGAAATTATAAAACTAATTTTATGCGCTGGTAGACGTGGTATATAATAGAGTATGACAAAAAAAAGGTTTTATTGTAATCAATAACAAACTATTTATATCTGTGACGGACATTCTCAAAATATTTTCATTAGATTCAAGTAGTAAATTATAGTATGAATTTGTATAGAAGCTTAAAAAATACGTACTGATAAATAGATTAAGACTTTTAATAGCATCAATATAATTTGTCAAAAGTGTAGGCTGAGTCCACATTCTTTTTAAAAGTCAAAAATCGGTGACATTCAGGAATATAAAATAAATTTAATATTCAACTTAAAATTTCAATAAAATTTTACTTAAAATTACAGTATTATTCACAGATACTTAAATTTCAACCAAGTTTTAGTTATATTACTGAACTTATTTCAGATAATATGTAATTTAACGACAGTTTCAGAACGTTATTATAATGACGTTTCTAAATATTATTCAAGTTTATTAAATTAACGATTGGGTGTGAGACAGATTGTTGTCACGTTCTGTTATGTTATGTGTTAAATATATTATATACTATTATTTGATAGGGAAGTTTTCAGTGATTTTATTATTTAATCAAACATTTTATAATAATATGGTAAGAACTTAGTAGGAACTTATTTAATTATTTTGTAGATATTCGTTACTTATTTATTGTTCATTTTTAATTTTGTGATAAAGTAGAGATGTGAATTCGATCTAAAATCGTAAAAAAGTATAGAAATGGTATATATATCAAATATTTGACATAAAAAAGATTACAAATAATATCGGGATAATATTAATTTTGTAATAATTAGATGCGAACTTGGCGCGAATTATAACTGCCAGTTAACAATAAGACGCGAAGCAGTTTGTTCCGCCAGTACTTGACACGGCCAAGGCGCATACAATGTCAGGATCAGGCAAATGCATACCACATGCAGCATTAATAATCTGTGAGGAAAAAAATAATATAAATGTCTGCATTATTTTAAGTAACAACATTTTAGTATGAATTTTTCTTTTCAATAAACAAATATAAAATAAACTTACAAAGTTTAAAACTATGTTAGCAATTTATCTATTTTATTGTGGCAACTTTTTTTTATTTGAATTTCGAACACTAACTTATCGGTTATAAAATAAATTGACTATAACTTTCGATAATTATCAGTCAATACCAACAATCCTCTTCAATACTTTCTAATATCTTCCTACGGTTATTCATAATCTTTATTTCATTTTATTTTCTACGACTAAGTTTTATTGAAAGTGACGGTTTATCAAAATAAAACAATAATCGTAGTTATTCTATTTAAAAGAGATTTAATAATACAAACAATTTCTAAATAGTTCTCTATTCAGCTCACAGCGGTATCGGAAAGCAAAGATACATTCTAATAAACTTGACATAGTTCACTTCTAAAGCGGCTAATGATAATGGTGGCAAATTGAGTGTTGCTATCACACTGATAACGCTTGCTTGTTTTTTGGGAAAAAGATTATTTTAATTTCTAACTCAAACGTCATAGATATATACTTTTAAAGAAAACGCAGCTTACTATATGAATTTTGATAATATATTTTTTTTGTAAATGTTCTTACGGCTCTGGATACGAGTCCTTTTGAGCCTGATAAATTATATTTTTTTATTATTGCCATTATCATATGTGTATTCTATATTCAGCCAATGTCATGTCAATAATTAATAAAATTCTATAATTGAAAAAAATCTAAAGACAATGGTAATCGAAATTTAAATATCATCAAAGTTACGAGGAAGTCGTTAATTAGCAGCCAGATGAAACAATAATTAATTTTAAGAGCATTTATTTAAACCGATACTACCGTGAGAATAGAATACAATGGAATTCAACAATTAATTAATTATAATTGTATCCATTGCTCGCTGTGGTTTCAACAAATACACGAGATTTATGTTCGAGACGCAATGGAACATTTTTTTTATTTAATTAACGTCATATGTCAATCGTTTTTATCTAAGTTTATTTAAAACCTCCATTTGTATTTAATTCGTGCCAATTATTTTAAACCGACTTTTTTGGGACACTAAAGTTTTTATGGCGGATAACCTGTTATAACTGTATCGGACATCCAAAAAAGGAATACAGATTTTATTAATTAATTATATAAACGTAGATTATAATTATTTTCAATAATATGGCAATGTTCGTTTGACTTTATTACTATTAGGCTCAAAAGGACTTGTATCCAGAGCCGTAAAAACATTTACAAAACAAATAATTAGGTACTATTGTATACACATATATATATACATATTTTGCATATAACACTCTTAATCATAATCTTTCCATACATAAAACATTTTATCATCAAATTATAATATTTATGGCTGAATTTACTTAATTTACGAGAACACATAGTAGGTAAAGCAAACAGTGGTTAAGCGAGGCGAGCAAACATTGTTTCAAACTTGTGACAATGCGCTTATCTTATATAAACTGGCTACTTTTTACAACCGATAACAGTAGTATAAACAATTATACAGACGCTACATAAAATATAAAACCTTCACGGTTAAAACATTTGCATATATAATCTGTGAGTAATGCGTCCAATCGAAATATAACGTCACCGCGCTGCATCGCTTCTAATAAATATTGTAATAATATTCTAATATGTATAATGTATTTGTTATTAATAGGAGAATTAAATTCATATAAATGTATTAATAGCTTTGAAATAACAAACGTTTACGAGAATATATTTAAGTCATCTGGATATTATATGGATACTTTTTTAATAAAAAACTTTTTACATTTTTTTTAAAATACGGAACAACAAAATTTTTGTTGCCAGGTATACATTTTGATTAATTATTGTTTTTTCTCGCAGAAATAATACAGGCCACTGAGAGTAAACTATAACAATTAATGTCATATAAAAAAAAGTTACTGAAATAAAACAAAATGGTGATCAAATCACCATCTAGTTCATATTACTTTTATCAAGTTTTATATAAAAAATCTAAGCACGAAAAATTGTTCTTTTTGGCGGTAATTTCAAAATAGTATATACATATAAGTTTTGTTAGATAATTACAATTAATATTCCGATCAGCTGACTTGTATAGTAACATCAGATGTAAAAGTAGCCATCACGAAATACGGAAACAGTTTTGGCATTGCGAGCAGCGACCGAGTTTATTCTGCCAACGGGGTTAGAGATTCGCAGCTTCGTTTAGAAACTTTGATTATAATTTTAGTTTTAGTTTTTGAACACAATTCAAAATAATTAAAATAATGTTGGGAATAGTTGATGAAAATTTAAAAAGTATTGGAAGTCCTTAATGTTTTTCATTAATAAATACTCTTTGGCCTTTGCTTCTCCGTGGAATTATAATCTGTAAGAAATAAACTGAAACCTAGTTTTAGTTCCATTAATACCATACTATTTAATTATGATAAGGAAATCAAATAGCGGAGAAAAGATAAAATGTAGTAGTATATGTATTATACCATATTGTTTCAAATAAAAATAAAATGTCTATGTAAATTAGGATTTAGTCATTCAGCATTTGTGGAATTTCATAATATTTATATCTATACGTGGCCGTTCACCTGAATAAACTCACGGTTTTTCCAACAACGCACTTCTTGCCTGTACCTTAACAAATCGAACAGCAAAAATTTATAATTGTATTCTAGTATATTTCCATTTATACTTCCTATAATATTGACTCAGTAACTGGTTAGAACGACCGTCTGATGTGAAGTCAGAATTAGAGGAGAAAGTCTGTATTGTAGCTATACTTTGTCAATTATTATTATTTTTATTTATCTAATGTAGCACATGCACAAACTATTCAGCCAAAGTATCGTTAGTTACAAATAAAACCTCTTTTAACTAATTTAATTAAAGAAATGCTAACTAAATTTATTTTTGTGTAAGCACTGCTATTATTTACATAGCTTTTTTACTCCAATATTTGTATTACATTATATACAATTAAAGTCTAATTTTAATTTAAATTATCACTAACAAGACGGATGTCTAAAAATATAAATTTTATGTCAAAAATTTCTGACGGGATGACTTTTTTGTGAGCTTAGAACCTTCTCGATCCTTGAACCTCGTGTAATGCATTTAAAAAAAGACACCCGTCACTTGAACCTGTATTAAAACCTGTTCTTAATACGGAATCCTGTTAGATAATTTTCTTTGTGACTCGGGGTGATATTAGCTATTTTTATTCAACCTGCTTCTAGCTATAATTAATATCTAATGGAGAAAAATGCTTATACATAATACATTGTTTCTTGTATCTAAGAATTGATTTTGAAGTGGTTGCAATACCTATATTCTACATATCCACAATGAAACCAAATTCCTCGTCTTAACGGAGATAGGGGCGCTGCACTGTCGGAATATAAAACAGGTAATTATTTTATAAACACAGTCCATAGTCAGAATAAAAAGTGCGCTAAGCCGCTGTCGACTGCTCACACTCAACTTGACGTTGTGTTACAGTAAGGTAGTGCGCTGTACTCTCTAACTATTTTCTCGTATAAACATTTAATATTAAAGAAAGCAGAACAATCTTTGTACTGTAGCGATATAACGTGTGTTTGTTAAACTGTGTACACCATGAAGACGGATTATCCGATGGATGAAATGCAGAAGAGTGAGTTTATTATACATAATTATTAGTTAAAATTAATATGTTTATAATACATTTTATAAAGCCACAGTATTATTGAGTTAAAAAGTTATATATAGAAAAATAAAGGAACGATAAACTTCAGGTTTTACCTAATTCATTTGAAAACATTAAACTTAATAAACTTTATATATTAATGGTTTAATTTAAATATATATAAATAATTTGTTTGTATATAAAATTAATAACAAATAAATAGTGTTTTTTTATGTTATTGAAGTGATATTTGTCGCTCGTTATAATATCTGTATGCATATGTAATGAAGTTACGTTGTTCAATGATACAATATTAATAGTCTTTTGTTCTGGCATGTTATTATCTCAGAGTAGAGTAATAGAGAAAAATATTATACATGACATATAGATACATCCGTATATTAAAAACTCACGGAAGAATCATGTAAAATGGTGAAAAAGATATACATATATGTTTATATTTTTGATGACTTTTAATTCTATTTGCGGTTTTTTTATTATTTGTCATAAAATAGGTTTCTTAGATTATTTTGGACGTCTGTTTTGTGTTCAAAATATTAAATAATATGGTTTTAGTGCGAGGAAAGTATGAATGTACTATTTGAGAATTTCGGTTGTGGTTTTATTGCGTATAAAAAGACTATCAAACACATTAGTTAGAAAGGAAATAATGCAGATTTATCGTTACATCCGCACGAAAAAAAACATATTGAATAATGTCGTCATAATAAGTTTTTTTTTATTAAAATACAGAATCACAAATGTGCTACTTAATATTCATATAGGCACTTCACTTATTAAAATATTTTGTATCTGTATCGATTACATTAATTTTGATCTACGTATATTTGCATTAAGAAATTAATCAATATTTTCAACCACGGTTATTAAGTGAATTTTATTTTGATTTCCTGTGTGACAGTAATCTATATATAGAAAAGAAAGTTACACTATTTATAACTCAAGTACAGCTGTAGGATATAGTTGATAATTTGTGAGGAGGTAGCTTGGAACCAGGAGACCGACATGGGATATTTAATTCTGATCGATATTGTTCGATCGAAACAGAAAAAATAAACTAATATCTAGTTATTTACGGTCTATGAGTCAATAGAGTTCGTTCAGTCAGCTATACATATATTACTAATTCCGAAATTAACCCCAACCTAGCCGTAGGAAAAAAAACTAGTTAAATAAACCAAGTTTTGCTTAAATATGTCATATGAAGAAATTTATTTTATATCTACGAGGATGTTATTAGAAAAGAAATGGTCGTCGAACTATTTAAGACATTTTCCCAGGCGCAGGCGTGTTATAGAAATGAAACGTCGTTTGTATCACAATCAGATGCTCGACATTCGTAGAGTGCCACCGTTTACACTTGTATCTAATAATTGGCACACGTAATAATGATAATATATACCAGGGATTAAAATTATCAGTGCTCTCAATGAATATGAATTAGATGGTGAAGACGTAAACAACTTTATAAACATACTATATGATTTCTGTTACATATTAAATAGTATATTGTAAAGAGGACGTTAAATTCAGTTGTAATAAAATTATTATTAGTTCATTTACTATATGTATAATTATTATACAAGCTAGAGTCAGTGGTGGCTCAATGGATAAAGGGCCCGCCTCTCGTCGCCGAGGGCGCGGGTTCGATCCTGACCCGGGCAAGTACCAGTGTGATTTTTCCGAATCATATGTACTTTCTAAGAGTATTTTGACATCACTGATTAATGTTGATTCCCAAAAGAGGGTTGATGTCAGGCAGGCGGCCGGTCGTAAAAACAATTAGCAAAAATTATTCACAACATGTAAGGCATACCCTGGCTATAGCTGGGAAATTGCCAGGTAGAAGAAGAATTATATTATACAAGCTAATATCGCGACTTTGTAGGCGTTGTTTGATATTTTAATTTAGTTTGTGCTAGAGAATGCTTTAATAAATAAGTACGTAGTGCTTATAAAATCGTTATTTCTTAAGACTTTAATGATATTATATTATAAAAACTAAGAAAAATTAATTAAAATCTATCCAGCAGTTGTCGCGATGAGTTAACAACCACAACTTCTATAATTTCATTTATGCACATATAATAATACTACATATATGCATACATAAAATATTCTCCATATAATAATTTTTAAAATCTGTTGTAATAAGAAGGTTTCTTATTTTAAGGATGAAAGAACATTATTTAAATTACTAATTATCTTGATCAAACCTTACCTACTCCCTTTTTAATGGAATTTAGGTAAAAAGCTTTTAGGCAGCGATAACTTTTAGATATAACAGTTTCAAGCTAAGCTCTTTCGTTCAGTAATTAGTTTTAAATAGTTTAGTAATTACTTTTGTATTTCCAAGAGTTTCTATGATAGTCATAGTGAGTAATGTAATACATCTTTTAATAATATTACTCATAAAATAAATGCGCATTTTAATACATATATTATTTAGTGAGTTTATTATTTATTTATTTACACAACTCGTAATAAATTGTTTCGAGAGTCTTCTCATATAACGTACGTATTATTCACAGAAATATAATAACATAGATCCTTTATGAAAATTCTTGTTTAGACTAAGATAATGTCATCAAAATTATCTTTGAAATGTAAGACTTTCGCGTTACTCATTGAAATAAAACGTAGTCAATACGAAAAACAGTAGTAATATTTCAAAATTATCCTTTTTTGTACACAATACCTTAATTTATCTTAAATGTATTAATAATAACGTAATTTCCAGGGACAGGTTCCATCATTGGTCTGTCAGATGTGACTGAAAACAAGTTAATATGGCGTCAGCTGGTCGCCGAGCTGGTGGGAACCTTCCTTCTAGTAGCTGTGGGTGTAGCTTCAACCATAGCTATCACTGAGAGCAACGCGCCCATCACTACCAGCATCGCGCTGTGCTTCGGATTACTCGTCGGATCTATCGTGCAGGTATGTCATGTTGAAGTTAAGTTAGACGAGTAAGACGAGTTTTTTTTTTGGAAATGTTTATACGGCTCTGGATGCGAGTCCTTTGGATTTAAAAGCTTAGCGAGTTTGTTAGGGTTGACACTTCTTAATAATAGTAATAATGTTGAAATATAGATAATATAGAGTTTAGAGTTTTTTTTTTTGTAAATGTTTCTACTGCTCTGGATGCGAGTCCTTTGAGAATAAAAATATAGCGAGTTGTTTTTTAGGGTTGATACTTTTTAATAGTTTAAAATACATGCTATATTTAATATGTGAGTTTGGATGAATCTATGTCATAGGCACATAATGATGAGATTTTAATGAAATTAACGAAAGTATACATAAACTAGAATAGTGTACAGCCTGTCGATATTATAGGTTTGTCGCAGATTAATTAACAGTTTCCGGTTCCCAGGCACGGCTGTACCAGATTAGTTGTAAGCAATGCGTCCTACTTTTTACTGCCAAAATGGACAGCTATTAATTATTTTCAGGCTTTAACTTATTCTTTATAAATAACACTAAAAGATTAACATATTATTGTATATATATTTCGTGAATAATTTAACGTTAGATGCGTGAAGGGCTTTTCCTGTTGTCACGCTCATGACATCTCCTTTTATTAAATTCTTTTGTCAATCCGGAGATGTCATTGAAAACATCAATGCGTATCGAATACATAATAAAACATTGTTTTAAACTAAACTGTTTACGTTTAATCGTAATTTATTCAGAAACGGCCATTACATATTAATATATTGCCAGATATAGAACCTATTTTCTGGCCGTCAGTCACACTGCGACCATTAAATAAATTTAAAAAAAATCGATTGAAGTTTTAGTGATGTATATATATCGATAAAGCACCTATCGATAAAACATAAATCCGTCAATCGTATTAATGCAACGTCCGGCCTTTCCCACGCCCGTACCTGTGCTCGGTCATGTGTTAAACGCGTTACATATGTTCTATTCAATATAAGGCCGATATGCAAATACACGAAATACGAATTACTAAACCTTGACATACGACCACTGACATGCATTTCACTAATGGAGACCAATAAGCTATGGCGGGAACTTTGACGTGACGTAAATTGATTTTATACACAAAAATATCATAATATATATATTCTAATATAATCTGTGATAGTATTTTTTGAAATTAGAATATTAATTGTTATGTTAAACAACCGTTATATTGCATTTAATGTGTTTCGTGATTTTTCACGAGCATACGCGACATGTATTGTTGTAAACAATTCTTTATTGTTAAATACTAATGCTAAGAAATTTTCTTATACAGATTATTATAAAAAAATGTGACTTATGAACGGAATATAGCTTTTTTTTAAAAATTATACTTCAAAATATTGACTGTAAGAATAATAAGAATTAAGTCTCAGCATTATAATCCATACCTTTTCGTGTAAAATAAAAAAAAAAACATTTTTAAAAATAGAAGTAACACTAAAAGCATAACAAATTATTCTTGTACAAATGTCAGATGAGTTTTTTAACCGTGTTTTTTTAAATTTACCATTTGATATTACTTACTATATATATTTTTGGAGGTCTAATAGACGATAGATATATTGAATCACAGATAACGTAATATCATATGTAAATTCTCTAAGTATTAATGTCAGTATAAGATTCAGCAATGAGAGGCGTTGTCGCCTCCCAAATAACGTGTTGAAGTTATTGTTTGGTAAAAGTCAAGGGTAATAAATATGTTTGATATGTTTATTACATAATATTAATAAAATTTAAATTATATCTTGAGCTATATTTTAATATATAGCTTACGATTGATGTGATAAAGAAAAGTAATCTACTAATACTCAAGCAAAGTCGCGGTCAAAAAATTGATATAATAATGTTTATATTTTTTTTTTATAAGAAGTAAAAAGTTCTTATATATCGATTTAAAACTAGGTCATGAATAATAAAAAATAAATGTATAAAATATCATAGTTTAAAACTATTTTAATGAATTTTTATAATATTTTTATTATGGTCTATAAAAGTCTGTTAAAGTCAATTCAAATATATGTTACCTCCAATTAATTACGAAGTTTGAAGTCAAAATATATTATAACAATTATAACAAATATATATATTTTTTAATAATATTGCTACGTATTATATTTTAATTAAAAAATAGTCAATATGTAAAAGTTTTCGTAATTTTCGTCATCGTGACTTGCACTGAGTGAACTTATATCTGACCTTGGCAACTGATTACTCTACTAACAAACGAGTACTTATTTAGGCCAAGAGCTTTCCATAATGAAGGGTTTTTGACGAATACGCGCCTTATAAACATGATTTATACAAAGTTTTGTAATCAAAACACTAGCTCCTATACCACGATTGAAATAAAAGCGACGTAAGTTCTAAAATGTATGTATAAAGATAATAATCGTATATTAATAAAGTGTAATTAAAATTATACTATCATAAATTATATTGCATCTAGATTAAACATTGATAATACGGCGTAGTAAAATAAAAAAAATAGTTTGAATTAATTTTGTATTACAAATAGCATATACATACTTTTTGGAGTGCAAAATTAATTATATATCTTAAACATACAGCCAGTCAATGATATTGTATCTGTGATCTCTTAATTGGTGTTCGTTCGAGCGAACTCTGATAATATATTGTATATCAAATCACATTTGTTGGTCCATCAATAAACTATTGCTTCATATAAATAAATATCTAGACAGATCTTTGGTTATACAATTTAATACAATTATTTTTATTAAAACAAAACTATTTTTCAAGTTATAACGTGTTCAAATATGTCATAATAAAAAATAATAATAATAAAACGTTCGAAATTCAAATTTTGACGTTTAATTTTTTTTTCGTTTTAAAATAATAGTATTGGTTTTTTAATATTATAATTATATTAAAAAGGACACGACCAGAGCTATAAGTTTTCTCAATTGTAAATTATTTACTGTATCATAAATATATTTATATATATGTTTGCTTCATTCTTGCTCAATAGATCTGTCAATCAGGTATTAACATCACTCTATGTTCCAGATTGTCGTGAGCCAAACAGCCAATGTCACTGTTCTTTCTATTTTATTGTATGGTTACTCTTACATATAATAAAGTAGGTTCTTGAGATGAGTTAATATTTAGAAAAATGCCTCTGTTAAAATTTAATTTAATATAAACAAGCTTAAGATATAAAGAATACGAAATTGTATAAAATTCAAGTGATTTACGTTAAGTCATTCAACGCTTCCATTCAGTTCTGTTACGTTAACGTTTACTAGAATTGTTATTTAGAGCAGAAATAAAAATGTTATATAACACTAGCTTTCTATTTGTTATATGTTAAAAATAAATGTTATATTGTTCATTTTAATACAATGTTCTTTATAGTAATGTCAAGTGAGTACTCAACCAAGTTCACAGTGTCGCCCACGTAATGTTAAAACTATAATAACGGTATCACGAACAAATGCATGTAAAAACTAGAGGTCATTCACCTCCACCAAAAACCTATAGTCCATCCAATAATTATTTACAGAGTGCTATTTTTAGAGAGATACTGTATTAAGTAGTATTTGTAATTTTGAGAGCTTGGAACGTAACTTTGTAGGTGAAGTAAATTATATTTAATATTAATATATTATAACATAATTATTGTAATATTTGCTAATTTTTTTGTGAAACTAATTAACTTTATTATCAATATGTCAGTTTTATGTCATCAATGAACCAATAATGATAATCACTCTGACTGCGTTTAATGAAATCTGCTTAAATTACGTTCAAAAATTGTTATAATTAAAATATTTTTTATTTAAAAAAAATAATTTTACATTAAAAAAGATATTCATAAATATTATGAAACTTATCTTTTAATATAAATTTGCAATATAATTTGTACATTAAATTAGCAAGTGTAAACGAAATGATTCCCACGCGAGTATGATACATGTTATGTTTGGTTTAAATAACTGTTTATGTTTTTCGTAATCAGACTAATGATTATATTATTATTCAAGGTGTTATAACTTTCATATATCACAGAGATGTTCATTGTTTTGTTTTGATTGATCGCTCTGTGGACAGACAGCGCGGTGCCATTTGGTAGCAAAACGAAAACAAGATGGCGCAACAACGCCCGCGCGAACACGTATATTAATTATTATCAAAGCATATCCATTTATGTTATTTAATCTGGTGCTGTCATTAATCAATTAATTATTTTTATCGGTCGAGTGAACATTGTGTGTATAAAGTTGTAATGAACTTAATTATGAAGTAATTATTTATTTTATTCAGCTAATTACGTAATGTGTTATACATTGGACGCGTGATACTGCCCTTTTGCACAGAATTTTGATGACTGACCGTGACATTTTTCTACATTTCGCAAGCTTCGAAAACTTGTAAAGCTCGAAAACGATTATTATTACAAACCCTATAGAGATCCGATTTCGTCATATTTTAATGAATGCCCACTTGCAAATCAGGCAATGTTTAATTCACCTACATGTAGATTAAAAAAATATAATTTCCAATCCACATTTTACATATCGAATATACTTAATATGCACTTTGTTTGCATCTTTTCTTAATTCATCCACTTAAGTAAGCAAAAATTAATTTAATTAATTAATTTCTTTAATAAAAGTCATTCACATATTAAATGTTATTTATACCTCTTTAGTATGAAATTACAGATAATAAAACCTCAGCGTACACTAAAAGTCTTACGTAAAACAAACACAAGCCAATCAAATGAAATTTATTTATATGCACCCCACTACTTCAAGTGTAAATCTTGATCAATATAATTTTTATTTACCACTGAAGTTTCATTCAAACATAAATAACATAAGTATAAATATTATAATGAACGAAAAACATAATTTTAAGATTTAAGTCAATTTTTCTTTTCATCAATAATTATTCTACAGTTTAGATATTTTTGACAAAAC